TTTTTTTTTTTTTTTTTTTGGTCACATCAGGTGAATTGTACCATTTTGTGCAAAGGCATAAAGGGCAGCAGTCCCTGGAGGGTGCCATGAAATATCTTCTATAATCTCTTCCATTATTAAGAGAATGCCATCCATTTCTTCCTTTAAGTTTTTTCTTTTACATGAGTTTGTCAGAGGTTTCCCTCTAGCTCCAGATATAACCTGTTATCTGGAACCTTAGGGTATACCAGCAGCTGGTGTACCAGAAGGGTAATCAAAGGGTTTTGGAAATGCAAGAGGAAAGACTGACAGTGTGTAAGACTCTGTTTTAGTTTTATTTAAGGAAGATGAAGGGTAGGCAGGGTTTAAAGGAAAGCATCCTCTCTTTTGAGTCAGAACCTACAGTATGTTTGGGCAATGAAGTAGCAGGTACCAGAACCACCTTCAGGTACTGAACGTCCACCAGCTGCGTAAGGTATCCATCCATAAGTTGATCCTGATGGATAATAGAACAATTGCACAGTTGACACTGAGAACCAAGTTTTGGCATTAGGGGGTAGGTCTGGCATTAAAGAGTTCTACTAGCAGAAAGCAGGGACCCAGAGCTAATCGACATGAGTCTAAACATAAGAATCACTTACAGGGAAGGTTAGGCAGGAGGGATTTGAAAATCAAGAGCGAGCTTATTATCTCAAGATGTCAACATCCTGGATCACCTACCCAAGAGTTCAGGCTTAACAATCACATGAGTTATTATTATCTTACCCAGACTTTTGACATTATGGCATTATATTAACACATGACTCTCAACTTCAACCATGGGTTAATTTTAGAACTGGTTACAAAAAGTATGGATGAATAATTATGATGGATCATTTTACTTTTTTAAACATTTATGTATACAATAACTGAAGTGTAGCCAGAGGTACAGGGCAGTAGAGAAGGTGTTGTTGATGAGGATTTGCCAGACAAGAGTGGGGAACAGAATAGCTGGATTGACTGAAATACATTGCTAAGAGGAGCAATGGGTGAGACAGAAGAGATCTACTGCACTACATAGGCTAGTCCCCCTTCAGGGTTTCAAACTCACTGCAGTGGCTGTAACAGTATGTTTGGGCAATGAAGTAGCAGGTAACAGTACTGAAACTTAACCCCTTGTGCCACCAGGGAGGTACTATGATGAATCATTTTATAAAATACATAATAGTAAATAATTACATTATAGTAATTTAACCCGTTTCCCATTTTTATATTTATATTTTGAATGACTAAATTTGCATGAGTCTATAGAATAGGATTTCAAAATATTATCAATTTTAGTAATACTATATAATTACTGTTAAATGCTTTTAAAATTTGAAAGGCAATAGCTACAAAAACTACTCTCTGGAAAAGACAAGTTCTACTTGTGATCTTGGACAAATTAAAGTATCATCTAATTCAGGCCTCCCTGGTGGCCTAGGGGTTGTTTCAATACTATCATCACTGTAGCCTGAGTTTGACCTCAGGCCAGGGAGCTAACCCACATTTGTCACAGTAGACCTCTCCTGTCTCACCTGCTGCTTCCCTTAGCAGTGTATTTCAGTAGATCAGCCTTGTTCTGCTCCCGACTGCCTCTGGTGAATCCGCTCATCTCCCATACTTCTGGGGTATACCCTAGTTCTTGTATGGATAAATAAATCTTTTCTTAAAATTACCTAATCCCACAGGATTGTTCAATACACTACTGACAACATATAAACATCTAGTAAGTATCTGACAGATAAATAAGTGCTGATAAAAACTCAAATTAGGAGTGTTAAGTTTAACTGAGACATAGTTGGATGTCACAGATATGTCACTTTGATTCCTCATCATCTAATGTTAGAAGAATTTTACATATCCTCATTTAATACTCATTAGAACACTCCAAAGAAAGATCATAACTATAAATTTACAGAGCGTTCAGGAAGGTACAAACTGCACAATGTTTATATGGCCTAAGTAATGGAGTAAATACCAAAATGTCATTTTACCATATTCTACGAAGGGGAATATGATCCCCTTAATACCCCAAAAGACAGGAGTTATGTTTGAAAAAGTAAGATTGACAAATGGCTATCTACATTAGCTCTTAACACAAAATATTTAATACTGAGTTGAATATCTGTATTGTGTGATATGACATGAAGAGAAGGACAGAGATAGGAAAGTTGGTCAGGAAGCTTTCACAGTATTTGGAGAAAAATTGATTCAGGTTTCAAGTCTAATCATACTCGTAAAGAATCACGAATTTAGATTACTGAATAAATGGAATTTTCAGTAATCCAAATCTTAATTGTGAAACAACCTGCAATGTCTTAAAAGTATTCTTCATACTTCCTGTCCTGGCTTCTAGTAGTAGTTCGAATCAAAGCTATGATATTCCTCTATGATGTCTGCTTAACATTCACACAGAATACTAATAGAAACAAAAAGGCAGCATTCCATACACATGCAGAATATACAAATACAGACCACCATACCCTATTTCAGTTTTTGTGTGTTTACCTTCACCAGCAATCTCCCCTTTACTGAATACAGCCTTCCGCAAGAAATGGATATGACCCTACTGTAAAAGCTCAGCCCAGTAATACTGGGAGTCATGAGACCACAAAGTATTGAAAAGCAAGAAGAGACCTGAAAATATTAAACAGTACAATATGTTTAGAATAAGGCAAAAAGTTCCATGAGTAAGGGATGTAGGATAGCAGGCCAGGAAGATTGATATGGATTAGATTCTGAAGAGAATGTTATGCTTAGGAATTAAGACAATCTGTGTGTGATGATTTCCCAGTTATGACAACAGAATCCACTGAAACAAAGTGAAGAATAGCAATAGTGATTACACGTTTAAATTTTTGATTCTTTAGCTTTCTTACAATCAAAGCAAAATAAAAAAATTGAACTTTATTTGAAACCACAAAATACCAGAGATGAAGTAAACCATTTTTTATTTTTACTTTAAGATTATTTGGTTCTTGAGACATGCAAAACCCTTTAATTTTAATGAGAACAGTGTTTTTGTGTCTTTTTATCACATATCCGCTTAATATTAGGTGTAATATTGCTAAGTCGGATCCGCATATGAGGTGCAGCGTCAAGTCTTTTCCTGTACTTTGTTTTTGTTGCAGCATAATATGAAAATCCTGTTTCACACAGGTGCATTGTAGCAAAAGGTAGAAGTATACTAACTGCTCGCCTTGCTATGCTTGGGTACTCTTGAATTAGGCTACTCCAAAAATCATTTAGTGAAAGTTCACTGAAATTTTGTTTCACTTGAGAATCAGATGTTAAATCAATCAGGCTTTCATAGTCCCTTGCTACTAAAGAGGCTGGTTTAACAGTTACAGTAAATGGGTTTCTAACCCAGGCATTATTGTCATTTGTTACAGGAAAGTATTTTAACAGAGAAGAGCGCAAACCCCTTAAGTGCTGCACAATGGCATTGCAAATATCTTTATCAACTGTAGAATTAATCTCAGTCAAAAAGTCACTGAGTGTAGGGAAACAATCAAAATTTTCTTCTTCTACAGATGAGGCCCAAAACTCCAGTTTTCTAAATAATGATGACATTTTATCAAATACTGTAAAAACAGTCACATTTTTTCCTTGCATTGACAGATTAACCTCATTTAACTTAGTAAATATATCTGCAAGATATGCAAGTCTTAGCAGCCAAGATGAATTTGTTAAACAATCAGATAATCGGAAAGCAGAATCCATGAAAACCAATAGTTCACGGCGAAGCTCAAAAAGTCTTACAAGAACTTTACCTCGGGAAAGCCACCTCACCTCTGTATTCAGAAGAAGTGCTGTGTGCTGAGCCCCCATTTCTTCACATAAAATTTTTAGCAGTCTGGATTGATGAGGTCTAGCTTTAATATAATTGATGATTTGTACTGCCTGATCTAGGACATTTTTCAGAGATGTAGGCATTATTTTAATTGCTAGTGCATGTCTATACAAGAGGCAGTGACTACTGGTGCTTTCAGGAGCCACATATTTTATCAAGGAGACAGCCTCAGCAATCTTCCCATCCACTGCCCTAGAAGCATCACTACAAACATTAACACATTTTCCCCACTCAATTTCATGTTTTTGCATAAAATTGTTGATGCAGCTGAAAATTTCTTCACCAGTGGCATTACTTTGTAAAGATTCACAGAGGAGTAAGTCTTCCTCAATAGACTTATTAAACCTGTAACGAACAAACACAAGCAGCACAGCAAGTCCTGAAACATCAGCTGATTCATCTAGTTGTAGTGAAAACCCATCACAAATTTTCAGTCTACAAACAAGTTCTTCTTCAATGTCAGCAGCTAAATCCTTAATTCGACGTGCAACAGTGCTGTTTGACAGTTGTACTGCATCTATTTTTTTACTATATTGTTCATCAAACATCCGCATCACAACATCCTTTGCACAAGGTTTGATAAGCAATTCTCCAATGGTATGAGCCTCTCCACTCAGGGCTATATGGTAGCTTACATTGTATGAAGCCTCTGTAGCACTTTCATTATCTGTATTAACAATTTTAGGTGTTGGAGGTTTATTATTTTCAGGTGAATCAAGATGTTGCTTGAAAAAGCTTATGTCTTTGTCTTTATATGCAGCATGTTTAGTTTCTAAATGTCTTCGAAGCTTACTAGGGGCCAAAGAACTATTTGATAAAATTTTCTTACATAACACACACTGAGCATGAGGTGCATCTCTATTGCCAAAGTAAGTAAATCCAAAAGACAAATAACTTTCATCATATTTTCTTCTTTTTGGTTTCTTACTAAATGTTGTTATTTTATTGGAATTGGACATAAACTTGACCCTGGAAAGCTCACCTTCACATTTCTTAGAAACTGAAGGCAACTGTTCATCTTCACTTTGCAATATTCCAACCTTTTGATCATTTGATTCAGACACAATTTGGTAACAAAAAGATTCTACTTCTTGTTTAAGGCTTCCTTGTTTCAGCAACAGATCCATAGGCAAAGTGTTTGTGGTACAAAACATGGCTAATTTAGAATAAACATCAAATATCACAATAGCGTTGAAATTATAAAACAGGTAAGATGACGAGCAATCGTCAGAGATGATATATAGCAAGCCATCAGTTAATTTGTAAAAGCTGCCTATCCACCAATGCGCAGATGGAACATCACACGTTCATGTATCAGGTGATCTCGCATACGACTTCCTGGTGCTCTCAGGTTTGGCACACCTTTTCTTAAAGGTAGATTATCACATAAAAATAAGGGCTATAGAAATACATGTAGTAGTCATAAAACTATATTTTAAAATAAACTATAAAGAAGTACTGTTAGCACTGATCTCAACATATATTAAATATTAATATTCTACAACATACAATTCAGGAACCACTGGACTAAGAAGGAATAAAAAGTTGATATGAGTATTTTTATGGAAGAGACCTTAAGGAACATGTCCTTCAGGCAGAGGATTGCCAACTTTTTTTGGAACGGGCCATATAATAAATATCTTTTACTTTATGGGTTGTATATGGTCTCTGTTGCAAGTTGTCAATTGTGCATGTGGCAATATGCACGGAGAATAAAAAACAGGTACAGTTATATTCTGATAATGCTCTATTTATAAAAACAGACAGCCTGGGCCATAATTGACCAACCCCTTTCAAAGTACATAGTATCCTAGTATTGCTTAGTTTTCTATTGCCATTAGACACAGCGACTGTTGATAACATTACATATTTGACTGTTCCTTTCTGTTACTATTCTGAAGAGCTTTATTTAAAATATACAAACAGTTAAAAATTTTACAGAACACGTTATAGCCTACATACTGTGCATTAACACTGAAAAATAAATTGTACACCAAAGCTAAGTTACTATTTCTCTGTTCTTAAAATTATCTAATTATTTATATTATCCAAATTAAGATTTAAAGTAATGTGTATTTTACTGATTACACTGCATCCCATTATACTATAGATGAGAGTTGCCTACAGACTAAATTTTGCATTTTCATGTTAGATTCTCAATCAAAATGGTTTCCCTATTAACAGCTAGAAGGTAAAATACCTGAAATGAAAAGTAATCCCTTTTGCAGGCACACTCTCCACCTTGGCAGCTGGAAATGCAGACTCTTCAAAAGAATAAAATTAAGGGATGAATGGAAGGGGAGAAACCAAAAGCCTAGAAAGAGAAAGATTAAAATTAGATACAGCAAAAGAGAACTACAAAACACTAAGACACTAGTCACTAAAATCTACACTAGACCCAGGCAGTGCAAATGTTTCTTCACTGCAATGCAGACTTTGGACTGAAATGCCTACATAGTAAAAATGATATCCTCCTACTATTTACTATACAGGCAATTTCACTGTTTTGAGATGCTCTACCAATTCATTCATTTCACAGAAATACAGTAAAACTTTCAAAAATGAAGGCTAACTTTCAAAAGTACAGTCACATATAATGTTTCTAAAACTCAGTATTGGAAATAATCTAAAATAGAATCACATGATGTTACATAAAATAGGCTGTTTTGCTCTAACCATCTTTGTTCTCTCCATAACCAATTAAGGCTTCTGTTTTGAGTGATCATTGTTTACTATGCACCAGAAACTGCTAAGTTTCTCATCTACTGATAGATCACCTTATTTAATCCTCAAAACAAACCTGAGTACAGGGACTATTAATAACTCCACTTCAGAGACCCAAGAACAGACACAGAGAAGTCATCTGTAAGTTAACTTATCTGCAAACGAAGAACAGAATCCCCAAAGTTTGCAGAGGTGCCCACGGTAGCCATTACTTGTGTGTTTGCTAATACCCTTAATTTCCCAAGCACTAAATAACCTGGTACCAGGAGCTGGGTGTTATCGAGAGAAATTACAAATGCCAGAAAGCCGTGGGTCTCAAACTAACAACAGCAGAAAGTCCAATTTCTCCATTATTGGGAGCAAAAATGCAGTGATTTTTCCTTTCGGTCCACTTGGATGTGGCAACAGAAAACTTTGTGGAGCTGCTGGTTGACCTACAAGACGAGGATCCCTCTCCCTGGCCGCTAGAGAAGCATACAAGAGTAGGAAGCTTTGTTTTCAGGAAGGAGGGCCGCATCCCCATCTTTTCAGAGATGCTCACCCCGAATCTGTCGTGGACAAAAGTCTGGACTCCCTAGGGAGTAAAGTTGTATCCTATTCCCAAGAGGAGGGGAACCTTGAGCTTTTCGCAGTTCTGGTTAAACTGACAGTTAGCACAACCTTTTCACCTCTACCCTCAGGCGGTTCCTGCTTCCAACACTACCTCCCGGGGCAGGGGGGCTGGGTCAGAGTGAGGTCCAGTCAGAAAGCCTAGGCAGAAAGGCAGTTAGGACCCTGGGCGGGTCTGGACACCGCTTCCAGCACCTTTTCCAGCGGTCACCTGGAAGTGCGGCCCGGGCCAGCTATTCCTCAGCTTATCCTGGTCCCAGGTGCGCGCTGCCCGCAGACCACCACGTCCGGACTTGCTTCCCGTCGGAGCCCACCCTCGCCTCGGAACTCTTCTCTCGCGTCCCCGAGCAGTCGCCTCAGATAACCACCACAGGAACGCGTCGCAGGACCCAACACTATCTTTCTACTTCATCTCCATCGATGATGGAGAGAACGGTCTTCGCTGCGGCTTGGCTGCAGAGCAGCGCCGCGATCCCCAGCTGAGCTTGCGGCCGCCATTTTAGACAGCTCAAGGCAGCGGCCATTTCAGAGCGCACGACTCAGCCGCCAGGGCGGCTCTGGTCCTCACCTTCACCGAGGCCTGAACAGGGTCAAGAGCCAGTCGTCGTGGACTGGGGGGAAAGGGAAAGGGAAATGAAAAATAAAACAGAGAAAAAGGAGGATTCGGGGGAGGGGGGACAGGGTGAAGCTCTCAGCTCAGGGATATCGCCTATGGCACCTCCACAGAGATCCGACTCGCGGCTGGAGCGGCAGCTAGTCTGGAGATAAATTTAGCACTCTGGGGCAGCCGAACCTACGGCCCAAGAGCGACTCCGCCACCGCCCAATCAGCGCCGGAGTTGCTCGCTGCTACCAATCCTCGCAGAGCATCGGGGCGGGACTAAAGGAAAGGACCAAGCTGGGTTGAGGAGTGCTGCAGCCGCTGCTGCAGCGCTGGATTCGAGTGAGCCGCGAGGCTCAACTGTGCCAGGCGTGAAGTGATTGTTCTCAGACATCTCTGTGCCCTAATCAGCCCGGGCGCCCGGCAGCAGATAACTGGGAACTACTCGATGTAGTTGTTATGCCGTATGGCCGAAGTGGACTGCAGAAATCTGCATGCTCCTAAGCCCCGGGCGTGCTGCCCAGGCAGCGGCGATTTGAGCGGATTCGCAGTGCAGAGAAGGAGCGCTCAGCCTCGGCGGCTGATACTTTCACCTCTTTGTTCCCAGAGCCGTACCGATGCCGGGTTGCGCAGCCGCTTCCTCTTTCCCTTATTTGCCCCAAGGAATCGGAGCAGAAAACCTAGCTCTTGCCCCCCGCCCAGACATCCCCTCACCTCCCCGACACCGGCGGGTCTGGGACCCTATGGGTCTGGTGGGGTGGGGTGTAAGGTTGGCTTGGCGCACGAGGGGCGGAGCTTTTAGGTGACCCCGGGGGGCCTGGGGAACCGCCTTGTAGGAATCGGTAGGGATAGCGGCGTCTCCGCAGTCTTAGCGTGAAGGATGGAAGGGACCCCTGTGCTGTCTTTGCAGCTCTCACAAGTGACATCCGCCTCAAAGGAACGCCGGAACGCTGCACCCAAGGGCCGGCGTTCTAGCATGTTCACTCTCCGAGCTGCAGCATGCGGATATTTTAAGGCATGGTTCTACCAGCCTCTCATCTTTCCAAAAGTCTACACTGCTAAAGGCTGCGGGCGGTGTTTTCATTTTGTGTGATGTCCCGCGGGGAGACCTGGAGTCGGGTTTTTTGAACTGGCACCCGAAAAATACACACGCTAAATGGAGGGAATTTGTTTTAGTACTCGTAGCATTTAACAAACGGTCTTATTGTTTACAATACTTTATCCTTTCGAAACCCCTTAGAATTAACTGAAGGAAAACTGATCATGATTTCAGGCACTGCACCAATGACACTGCACCAAGCTCCTAACTTGTGGCCAGAAGCAAAGGCAGTTTTGGTTTCTAAAATATGCTTTTTGATATATGAACAAATTTCTTAGACGTTGGAAGAAACCTAATCCATAATTTAACAAGCTTTCAGGGGGTTTGCATAGAAAACTTCTCAGGACTGATGGTAGAAGCAACATTTAGCCCAAATGGTTTAAAGCCACATCAGCATCATCAGGTCTTTGTTCTACATACAGTTTTCATTATTATTTCATTATTACATTTCATCTGTTCTCATTATTTAAAAATGATCCCAATCGTTTCATTTGAAATTTAACCACGAAGGTGGAACTACTTTTGGGATAGGTTGTGCAGTTTTATTTGAAGTGTGAAAAAATTAGTTTGTAATTGCAGTAGTTATCTACATAATCTTTTCATATTTTAATGTTTTATAATTCTGAGAAAGCTTTTACATAATGCACACAATTTAACCTTCACATAACTGGCTTACATCTTCATGAATTGGGAAAATCCAAAATATTCAACTGACTGGAAAAATACTGCTTAAACGAAGTTTAACTAAGGCCTTCCCTTCACTTAGGCCCTAGCAATCTGCAGAGTCTGATTTTTAAAAAAAATATTTACTTATTTATGCATACAAAAACTGGGATATACCAGATGATTCACCAGAGACAGAGTGAGGAGTAGAACATGCTGACTTATGAAGTACAGTGCTGAGCGGAGCAGCAGGTTAGACAAGACAGGTCTGCTGTGCCCTGTGGTCACCTCTCTGGGCAGGGATCAAACTCTGCCGCAGTGGCTACAGATATCTTCATTGTGCTGTGATTTAACCCCTTGATCCACCAGGGAGGCCCCCAAAGTCTGATCTTTTTTTTTTTTTTCTATAATTACTTGATCAATAGTTACTTACTGATTTGACTGTTGGTTACTGAGACAGATCTGGGCCACTGCCACTAAAGTATCGTCCACTGGGGACCTATAGGAGAGGGGCAGAAACAGTCAAGTCTGAAAAGTAAGGAACAAAATCAAAATCAAGATAAAAGTTGCCATTGTTAACCTCCTCACAGGTCTCTCACCCACATCTGTTTCTACTAGTCCAAGACCAAAAAGCAAGAATAGTTTCTTCACATGTCTCTTTGCTCCAGGTGTCTCCTCCAGGTCTCCTGCTGGCTCTCCATCCATCTTTCTTCCTCCAGTATCCTCTTCTGCTTCTCTTCTTCCCTGCTCAGGTCCCCCTTTCTTGGGTGGGGCAGGAACCTGGAATTTCCCTTTTTTCTTGGGACCACCCTGTTACATATCCACTTTTTAATGTATTAAAAAGAATCATATCAGATAGTCACCCCTATTAAAAAAAAAGATTTATTTATTTATGTGTACAGAGTTGGGGTCCAGGCCAGAAGTGCAGAGGATTCATCAAAGACAGAGTGGGGTGCAGAACAGGCAGAGCCTCAAAATACACTGCTGAGGGGAGCAGTGGACAAGAGAGCAGAGGTCTGCTGTATGGGGTCACCTCCCTGGCCTGTAATTGAACTTGTGCTGCCCCTTAACCTGTTGCGCCACCAGGGAAGGCACAAGTTACCCCTATTTTACAGATAGGGAATTTGAACTGACTGGTAAATAACTTGTTCAAGTCCTGAAAGTTATTTGGTAGTAAAGCCTGGATTAGGTGCAGTACTGGTTGTGGAAAGCATGAGGCATGTGTACATGCGCATAAATATGTTAGGCAGAGAAGTATTAACAATAAGATTATAGTTATATATTGGGAAAGCAGGTGGAGCCTTACCCTTAAGAAGAAACTCACTTTACTACCTGAGACTCAAATTCCACTGGAATCAGTGACAAGAATTGGCTATCTGAAACCTGTAGCCTCTTAAGAGGTCTGAGATGACAAAGTTCTGTTCACATTGGTGAATTTGCAGTAGTTTGGTTTGCCAGAACAGATAACCAGATAAAGGTTTTGGCACCAGTATCGTAGGTCATAGTGTCCTCCTTCTTATATTCCTTGCTCCCTCAGTGCATGTGGGAAGGGCAGAACAGCAGCTGAAGTGACAGCTGGGAGCCATGTGCTGGATCACACTACCCACTCTTGAGCAGGACAGCGAGTTATTTCGAGCAGAATGGCACATCTTCACATCTGCCACAGTGTGTAACCTTTAAAATAAAGGTGGTAAATTAGTAGCTTGCATATTTCTGCGAAAGTTATTGTGATGTGTCAGCTTTGGTCATATGAAACATTCAAGAGAATTTCATGGCCACGTGTATGAGACTGACTTATTGGTGTAGATTTACAAGAGTTATCATAAGTGCTTATAATGATTTCACTAACATATATTTCATTTGTAGTAATAATTGAAAATAAGAGAATTTGGTTAGTTAAATATGCAAATTAAGAAGTATTTAATCTGTGAAGCTTGTGAATTAATTATAGAGAATAAGTGTCCATATTTTATGCAATGGTGAGATTTATAAATAGATTAATAAGATTTACAAATTGAACTTAAAGGCTCAAGATATGCAAATGTATGATATATTTGGCTTACTTATAAACAAATTGTGTCAATTTTCAATGTTGATTCTAGCTTTTCTTAAAATTTTTATTTTTATTTATTTATTCATTCATGAACTGAGGTATAGGCCAGAGATGTGGGGGTAACAGGATTCACCACAGACAGAGTGGGGAGCAGAGCAGGCAGATTTCTGAAATACATTGCTGAGGGGAGCAGTGGGCAAGACAGGTGAGGTCTGCTTCCTGATGTTTAGCTTCCTGGCTGGGATGGAACATGGGCTGGCCATGGTAGCACACTGAGAACATGGAGACTTGAACTCCTGTGCCACCAGAGAGGCCCTTTTATTATTAAAGCTTTTATTCATTCCTAGGACTCTCACTATTCCATGATCAATGATTCTTAAGAATAAAACATGAGCTCTGATATTCCACTTCACTTTTAAATTTTAAGATTATAGATTTTCTATTTGAATATGTACTAACACCTTAGATACAATGTGTTCAAAACTTTACTACTTTTTAAAAACCCGTATGTTCTCCCCATGACCTCATTTATTTTATTTTATTGTTTAAACTTCATTTTGTTGAAAGATCTTATTTTTTTCTTAATATCCCAAAATAAACTTGGGGTAAATAGTAACTTTTGATTCACTTTCGTATTCCATCTATACAGGAGGCATCAAATTGTTACTCTTTTCTTAAATGTTTTAGTTTCATCCATCCCCTTTCCTCCATCACTTCCTCATCACTACTGTACGTTTCCTAGACCAGGATCAAGAAATGATCTTTCTAAATTATTGCCACAGTCTTGCTAGCTTCTAATCTCTTTCTACTTAATCAGTTTTGATTACCAAACTTCCAAATTTTAGAATCTTCAGTGACTCACTAATTCTTTTGTCATTGCATAGCATCATAATACTTTAGAACCAAAGAGCTTCAGGAAATATACATTGTAATCCCCCTTTCCTTCAGTTTTATAGAACAATGAATCCCAGAACTATCACATGACTTTGACATCATTTTGATAATTGGTGACAAAGATGGACTATGGCTTAAGGTGATGAATGTGTTTTAAAATTCCTTTTTATCTCCATTGTATTGGCCATTAAACTGATCACTTGGTGATACACTGTAAATATTTGTTTATATGTAAATTAAGCCATCTTTCAGTGTATTAATAAGTTCCTTTTCTATTGCAAATGATAGAAAGTCAATCATTAGACAAAAAATTTAACTAATCTCCCATACCACGCATCACTAAACCAGATTCAAGAAATTTTCCTTCTAAATTGGCTAATTAATTGAAATTAGCCAGTCCCTGATTGTTTCTATCAAATTTATCCTGCAAACA